GAACTACCTGTATAGACTTGCATGGTGATATTAACAACTGTGAGCCATAATTTTGATATAATTTCATTTTGCGGCCTACTCTCTTTAAAACAGAGTGTTCAGTTACACAAGAACCATGACAGAAATATATTTCCATAAAAATATCCTCAAGAAAAGTAGATAGCACATACAATAAGCATTTCATCTTACCTTCCTAGAGGTCCCAACTCTCCCGAATCTTGACTTCCAGCTTCACTGGGCGTGCTCACTGATTTCGGAGAGGGAGACATAGGGGTTGGGACTAAATAATGAAAATAACAGGTATCCCATGTTAAAACATGCAATGATTTCACTGATGTAGAGCACCGTCAAGAAAATTATGAACCAGGATCCAAATAATAAAATGATTGTACATGCAGGAGGATTTTAAATGGTGAAAATAGGAGGAGAAAAGAAAGAAATCAGAAATCAGCCAGTTCTAAATATTTTTGCTAAGTAAAGTTTAGGGAAGTTTAAACTGACTCACGAACCATGTTAATATCAGCATCCAATTTTTTATATTAAAAAATTAAAAGTCAAGGTTGACTCCAAAAGGAGAACTGATTTTTTAAGCATGGACAGGCAATTGGATTTTTTTAAAAAATAATTTTGTTTTTACCAAAGTTAGGGCTTAAATGTTTTTGTTGCTACTTAAAAACAGAATTATAATTGACAATTCAAAATATTACAGAGCAAAAAACTAAAAAAAAAGAAAACCTTGCAATTTTCTATGAAAACAAGAACAAATATAATTAAAGAAAAAAAAAGATATTTTGGACATTCATTTGAATACTCGCAAAACAGAATAGCTTCTTGTGTCTTTAAGATCATTAATATTTACTAGTGTAAAACTCCATAGTTTTCTGCTCAGATTGGTTGTTCATGATAAATAATTCCAGCAGATATGAATTCCTAGTGAGGTTTTTTTTTGTTTGCTTTTTAGCCTCATTTCATTTAACTTTTTGGTATTTTTATTCCAGCACAATAAAAATATTACTCCTGATGCTCTACAAAAATCTCAGACTTTTCTGGAAAAACAACAACAAGGGGATTCTAGAGGGACTAGTAGAGCTTTGTAATATTCCCCAGGAAAATTCTGGCTTGTGAAGTTAGTGTGGACAATTAACCTCCAGGTCAGCCCAACAGGTGTAAAGCCTGCAATCAGCATTTATTAAAGTTCCCTTGCACTAACCCTGCATCTAACCAATTACTTTTAAATTTGTTATAATACTGGTGGGACCAAGACAGTGGTGGGATTCAAATAATTTAACAACCTAATGACTGGCTGGGTGGGTGTGGCCTGGGTGGGTGTGGCCAGGGGTTTTTGCTCCCACTGGGAGCAAAAATGGGCCGCAGGGGTGTGTGCTACCCCCACGCCCCGTTTTGGGCCTAGTAGGAGCACTGGGAACAAAAACAGGCCGCAGGGGGCACTGCACCACCACCACCCCCGTGCCCTGTGTTGGGCCTAGTGGGCCTCCCTGCACTTACCTGGGAGCCAAAATGGGGCATGTGGGGACTCCTGGAAGGGGCGGGGCAGGGCCAGCCAGCAACTTAACAACCAGTTCGGCTGAAGTGGTGCAAACCGGTTGAATCCCACTACTGGACCAAGATAAAAGTAACCAATACCTATTTTAATTTACATTAGAATCCAAGAAGAAAAGAGAATCAGTTCTGGACCAGTATCAAGTGGAAGCCCAAAAAGGCAAAATTGGAGAAGATAAAAGGATTCTCTTTGGTTTATTATTTGTCAAATATATATGTCTATCTGAACAGCATACAGTAATGGTATGCTGAACCAGTGTAAAAATCTTAATTAATTTAATTAGAAATCTTTATTTACTCTCTACCACCTGGATGCAAAGACTGTTAAACTAAAATGATGATAGACCTTACAAAGCCTTCAGATCAATATTTTTAAACATAGGTACATTCTTTTGATTTGAACTTGATGGTTGGTGGGGGGGTTTTTTGGCAAGAGTGGATTTCTTCCAGGATGGTGTGATGTTGTCAAGCTAACTTAAGCTTTTGAATTTGCTGATGATCTCCCATCTCAGAATCAATCAGATTCATAACTGCTTTGTTTTTCAAGATCTGCCAAGGTCAGTTAGATACTGCCACCTGCTGTGGATGATCAAACATGAATATAAATCAGTATTTGGATAGAATTATGGTCTCAACTATTTTTAAGAACTTGAATTAACTAATCAAACTAGTCTAATTGGAAGGAAGCAACTCACTTGGGTATATATTAATCATAAACCATTTTGCTCATAGAATTGTTTTCCATGATTTAATTTATGGTAATAAATCTCTAGGCTGGAAGGGAGGGGACTTTTTATATCAAATATATAAATTAAAGATGAATTATTACTTTTTTAAAAGTGAAAACTCTCAACCACAATTAATTAGGCAGTGAAGGATTAAGATTTAAAAAAAACCAGGCCAATTAAAGCTAATCTTCACACAACTACAGTCAAAGATATAATTTTTGACAATGGCTATTTCAACTTCATGTTTAAATGTATACAGGTAGTCCTCAACTTACAACCAATTGCTTAGCAACCATTTAAAGTTATGACAACCCCTGCCCCAAAAAGGTACTTACAACCCCATTTTATAATTCAAATGGCTGCCCCCTGCCTCACATAATTGCATTTTGGATGCTTGACAACCTGATCACATTTACAGCTGTTTGCAGCATCTGGCGTTCACATAACTCAAATATTATTATTGTTGTTGTTGTTGTTGTTATTGCTGGAAACCAATGTTTACTTATGACTGCATGACTGTAAACTTGTTGCTTGTATCCTAACAATTTTTATTGACTATTTCCTAATATAATTTGATCGCTTATTGTGCCCTATGACTCTCATTAAGTGTTGTACTTTATGATTCTTGACTCTTGACAAATGTATCTTTTCTTTTATGTACACTGAGAGCATTTGTGCCAAGACAAATTTCTTGTGTGTCTAATCACACTTGGCCAATAAAGAATTCTATCTTTCTATCTATCTTTCTACTTCTGATTTCTGGCAAAAAAGAAAAACACCCATCAGCTAAAATGGGTTTTGCTAAATGACTGCAATGTTCACTTAATTATCACAGCAAAAAATGCCATAAAGTCAGGCAATCCTGTAGTAAGTCACTTAACAATCAACATGATTTACAATCATAATTCCAGGCTCAATTGTGGTTATAAGTTGAGGACTACCTGTATTTCCTCTGATTTAGCTCATTTTGCTAAACCATTCAAATATGTTGGCAGAGACACCAGTGAAACAGCCTGGCTACAGTTTGAATTCCAAAATCTTACACATATTCTCACCATGAACTGTAACCATAATAAACTGAGGGAGGGGGGAATACCAAAGACATTGTTTTGTCATAAAAACAGTTTGGCAGGGATATGTGTGAAGGGATATTGAAAATGAGTTATTATCCTCCAATGCTGCTTCTTGGTTCTATTACCCATGCTAGTAGAAGATGAGTTCTGATTTGCAAAAAAATATCATCAAGGAAGGCATGGCTTTAAAACAGTATTTCTCAAGCTTGCTAACTTTTAAGATGGGTAGACTTTAGAATGTCCCGGACAGCATTTAGGTATTCTGAGAGTTGATGTCCATAGAATTTAAAGTTGCAGTATTTGAGAAACACTGCTTTAAAGTCTGTGGAAGGATCAAGCTATTGAACAATATTACCCAACACTTTTTTAGATTGTGCTTAGTATTTTCCATGGGAGTGGGGGGAACAGAAGCAAGGGGCAAAATGATGGAACCAATGTTGCAGTATCATAAAACAACCCTACTTATTTCTGTTTGTGCACTGTGATGTTGCAGGCACACAAAAAATAGCAGTTTGTGGTACACTGCTGCAGCACTGTTTCCATCTTCTTGAAGAACAGTAAAAAATTAGGATGGAAAATGTACACACTGAACAAAAATCCAAGTGAACCATCTAATACAGTTGTATTTGTTTTATGATTTATGTATGTATGTTTTTATTTTTGGGTGCAATAAGTACATCTATCTTGGAAGTGGCAGTTATTATAAATAATTTAAACCTTGCTCCAAGCAGGATGGAACCCAAGCTACTAATGGTGAGGGATATGAATGACAACTTTGCTGGCATACAAAGCTTTCATTCAGCAAGGAAGGGGATAAGAATTGCTATCAACAAGCCGTACAATCATGAAGTTACATGATGTATAATCCACATACATCTCACTACAGACACATCAAGACAATAAAAGCTAAGCATGCAGTGATTAAAACAATGCTTGAATGTTACAAAAACTGAACAATATTAGTGGATCTATTAAGAGTACCTAAAGGAGGTTCTGGGGAAATACCAATGCTTTGCAGTAATGCTTCAGTCTCTCTTCTCTTACGATCCAGATCAGAATCTTCCTGAGGTAGTTCCTTCTTCTGCTGAGAATCTGCCTGAATTAACAATAATGAAGAATTATTCAGACTGTAGCTTCTCCTCCAAGAGAAGTAACAGGTTTAGTGGTGGAATTTTTAGTAGAACTGCAAAGTAAAGCAAAAAAGGTGCTCATCCTAATATCTGCCTCAAAAACGATATATTGTTTTTAAAGGAAAAACAAGACACATTAAATGCATCTGTGCATTTAATTAAATACATTAAATGCATCTGTGCAAAGAAAACAACCATTTCTAAATTAATCTTTTAAATCCTCACAGAACACATGTTCTGTATATTACTATCTTCATCTTTTTAAAACAGAAGTGTATTTGGCCGCTTTTCCCCAATTTTCAACTGAAAAAGTAAACATATGATGGGCACTTCCCAATTACAATCTTGGCTATTTCGCTCTGCTAAGAGGTCTTTTTTATTGTTGTTTCAACATAATAACACAATACCAATGCTAATAAAATACCAAGCCAGCTACCAAATCACTCTAGATTTTATCTGTATTTTAAGATGGTAATTTTAATCTTTTGCACTGCTATTTCTGATGTATAGCTAGAAAAGTGAGATTAGTATTTTCCTAAATAAGAAATATTTGGGCACTTAAGAAACTATCCAACTGTCTGTTGCAGCTCTGCAAAATCTACCTCAGTTTTTCATGCAACACATATGGAGCAGAAGCATTTTTCCAAGGTTGCAAATGAATGTGTTTCTCCACCCAAACTTTAATTGTACAGCAGGTTATATATTATCTTCTAGATCAGGTGTTAGCAACCTGTGGCTCTGGCTCTTTGGGCCCTCTGCTGTGGCTCCCTGTTGGGTGATCCCACCACTGGCTGGCCCTGCCCCTCACCCTCCCCTCCCAGTCACTCCTTGCCTGGCCTGAAAAGGTAAAACACAAAAAAAAAAAAATGAGAGGGAGGGAGGGAGGGACCCATTTCCCACAGAAAACACCAGTAGCCACAAAACCCTGGGTAGGCATGGGTGGAGGAATCATGTGACTGGGTGGGAGTGATGTTGAGTTGGCCACACCCACCCAGAATTTGTGTTTTCTTCTCTGTGGGAAACAGGCCCAAATGGTTCTTTGGGTGTTTAAGGTTGCAGGCCCCTGTTCTAGACCATCCAATCACTGCTGGGCCTATAATGTATTAATTCTGATTTAACTTCCTATCCAAGTGTCTTATAAAATTCACACTATAATAAAATGTCCACCATTTCAAAACCAGCATCATTATAGATACAAAGCCTTTGAGAGAAAGCATTTTTGAAATCTACCACATAGCATGTCTGATAATGTGGCTCTTGAAAAGGCTATTCTATATTTTTTAAAATACAAGTTATTCAAATATTTACGGAATTGTAAAATACATCTATAATGAATTCACTGGTAATATCCAACGGATAATAGGCATTTTATACTGTAACTATTGTTGACAAAAAGAGAAATACCATCATTTAATGCTTCCCTGATTTTGTATGAAAATGAATTTCACTGTCAATTCTCATCTCTATTTTGTGCTGTGACTGAATTAAAAAGGGAGGAGCATAAATTCCTTAATTAAAAATTCCCATGCACATTCTCTAGGATATACCAAATAATATGTCACATTAAAAGAATAAGACAGTATCCTAAAGCCAGAAGGGCAACAATGCAACAGTAATTATCATTTATTTTTGCTGAATATGCAGCAAAGTATATGCAGTTTTGCTACCTTAGCAACCAAACTAACCGAGCCATAAAATGAGAAAGGGAGTTACATATTGCAATTGAATTTTTAATTATGTTTGAGAAAGAAAGAGAGAGAGAGAGAGACAGACAGACAGACAGACAGACAGACAGACAAATTATATGTTTCACAATTAACAATTCCATTTCAAGCCACTGTTTTGAAATCATCAACAGCTTTTTGTATTTATACACTAGTTACAATCAATGCCAGCTTATTTCTCTATTTAATCAGGATCCAAAAAAACAAGAAAAAGAAGCTAGATACTTTTGGACTATAGGACTGCAAAGCAAAAAAAAAGAAGAAGCTAAAACTTCTGTATTATAGGTTTGCAAATAATGATTGAAAGTATTAAGTAATGAAAGAACAGTCAATAAGTCCTCAACCAAATTAAAACTGGCCATTATTAGGTTCATACTAGGCATGGTGATATATCAAAACTCTTAACCTTAGTTAAAGAAGTTCACAGAAAACCACAACTAAGATCACTTGTGTTCTATCGCCAGAACAAAAGCAGACTCGAGACTGGAGTTGAATTCAGCTCTTTATTAACTGTCAGTAACTTCAACTAAAGTCGAGCCGCGGCAGCCCGCGGCTCGCAACCAATGGCATTTATTAAACTTCCCGTCGCTTAGGCGGCCAATCGGAACTGTTGTTATCTACCAATCGCCAGCGATGGTATTTGTCCAATAGGAATGCAGTATTATGAGTATGCAAACAAGTACACTACACCCCTCCCCTCTTAGTTTGATCCAACGTTACATGACGTAGTCGCGTAAGTAGGCGGGGCTTTGGTGGGTCCTAGTTGACCTGCGCAGTTCAGTCTCTGCATTGACCTCGGTCGGTTCGGACAGGCTCGCCGTCTTTCCCGTTCTTCTCTCTGGAACCTCCTGGAAGGATGATTCAGCCATGCCGCTCCCGCCGTGCCTTGTTGGGTTGGTTGGATGGCCGCTGATGCTCCTATCTGACGTGCATGGGCAGGTAGAGTCGGCTCGGCTGCTTCTTTCCTGGTTCTCCTTCAGCTCTCTTTTTTCGAATTCACCCAATGGTTAAGTAGTTTTTATTTCTTTTTGGGCTTTCAGTTTCTGGTTGGTGGTTTGTTAATGGAGGGTTTTCCTTTCCTTTATTATTTAAAGGTTCCCCCCCCCTCTGGTTTTATTATTATTGTCTATCGGTTCTTGTGGATGTGTCTTTTCCATGTTCTGGGGTGTGTCGGTGTTTCGTTCAATGTATCGAGACCGCAGTTGATCGGTGTGTCTTTTCCACGATCTGCTGTCGGTTGTCTCTAGCCGGTACGATCGGGGGCCTGTAATTTGTGTTATCGTGGCTGGTAGCCACAACGGTTCTCCGGTAAGATTTTTTGCGTATACCAGGTCGCCTGGTATAAACGTGCGGTACTTACTGGAGGAGTATGGTGGCTTTTCGGTGTTGTAGGTGGGGTGTAGTCTGTCCAAATATGAGCGCAATTTTCTGCCCATTAAAAGTTCAGCTGGGCTCTTGTTTGTTGATGTGCACAGCGTTATATGTTGGATGGTGAGCATGGTGTTGATTTTGTCTTGCATATCGCCTCCTTCAAGTTTTTCTAATGCTTCTTTCGTGTATCGAACCATGCGTTCCGCCCTTCCGTTCACCGCTGGTTGAGCTGGCGCTGTCAGAGCATGTCGTATTCCTTGTTCTGCGAGGAATTGTTCAAAAGCTAAAGCTGTGAACTGTGGGCCATTGTCCGATACTATTACATCTGGTAGACCATGAGTGGCGAAGTTTCTTTAGTTGTTTAGTGACAGCTTCAGTCGTTGTTGAACTCATGATGGTGACTTCTAACCAGTTCGAGTAGGCATCAATGATGATTAAATATGTATATCCCTTTGTGGGTCCGGCAAAGTCTATGTGGATCCTTGACCAGGGGCCTCTGGGTGTCTCCCAGTCAAGGACCGGTGCTAAAGGGGGGGTAGGTCTGGACGACTGGCATTTATTACATGTTTTGACCCAGGTTTCAATGTCTTTGTCTATTCCTGGCCACCAGATGTAGCTTCTGGCCAGGGACTTCATTTTTACCATGCCCGGGTGTCCTTCATGTAACATGTTCAGCACGTCTTCTTGCAATTTCCGTGGAACAACAACCCTATCCCCCCCACACACACAATATGCATCCTTTCTCAATTGACAACTCAGTTTGCTGGTTTTTGAATGGTTTAAAAGTCTCGTTTTTTTTCGTTTTCCGGCCAACCCCTCCCCACCCAGTTCAGGATTCGGGCCATCAGTGCATCTTTTGCTGTTTCCCATGCAATGTCCAATGCGGTGATGGGCAAGTTTGATATCATTTCAATTTGCAGAGTGTGTGTGGTGGGAGCTGGGTCGTCATCGTAACCTGGTAGTGGTGAGCAGCTTAATGCGTCTGTGTGGGGTATGGCTTTTCCTGGTCAATAGATGAGCTTGTAATTGTAGGCTGCAAGAAATTCCAACCATCTTGTCATTCTTGGAGACAGGATGTTGGGGGTGGTCCTGTCTCCACCCAGGATTCCTAGCAGTGGTTTGTGGTCGGTAATCAAAGAAAATGTCCCACCATACAGATATTCATGAAAGCGTTTTACCCCCGAGATAGCGGCCAAGGCTTCTCTATCCAGTTGGCTGTAGTTTCTTTCAGCCATGGACAACATCTTGGAATAAAAGGCGATCGGTGCCTCTCTGCCATCCGGTAGTGTGTGGCTAAGTATTGCGCCTACGCCGAATGGTGAAGCGTCGCAGGTGACAGTTAGTGGTAGCGTGTCGCTGTATTGGATCAATACAGATTTGGATGTAATTAAGTCCTTAATTCTTTGGAATGCAGCTTCTTCTTGTTGACCCCATTTCCAGATGGCTTTTTTATCGAGTAGTCTATGCAGTGGTTCCGCTATTGTTGCCTTCTGCGGCAAAAAGACATGATAAAAATTAATGAGTCCCAAGAAAGCCTGCAAATCCATTTTGTTTTTGGGTCTGGGTGCTTCTTTTATCGCTCGTATTTTTTTTTCCGGTGGGGTGGATTCCTGCTTCATCAATAAGATATCCTAGGAACTCAACCTGATTTGTGGCAAGTTGGCATTTTTCTTTTTTGACCTTGAGTCCTGCTTCTCTAAACTTTTGCAAGACTGCCCTTAGCCGGTCTTTTAGTTGTTTTTTATTTCCAGCTGATATTAGTACATCATCGAAATAGGGAACCACCTCTTTTAGTCCTTGGAGGAGGCGTTCCATCAGGCTTTGGAAAATGCCCGGGGCCACGCTGACACCAAATTGTAATCTGTTGCATTTAAAGGCTCCTCTATGTGTTACGATAGTTTGTGCCTCTGCGGTCTCAGAATCAACTGGTAACTGTTGATATGCCTGCGTGAGATTGAGCTTTGCAAAAAAATTTCCTCCCCCCAACGAGTGCAACAGGTGCTGAACTACTGGAACAGGATATGCGCTCTGCTGCAATGCATGGTTCAGGGTGGCCTTATAGTCATCACAGATGCGCACGGACCCATCTGGTTTTACGGGGGTCACAATCGCAGTTTCCCATCTTGCATGGTCGACTGGCTCTAACACCCCTTGTGCGATGAGTTTGTTCAGCTTCTCATCGATTTTTGGCTTTAACACAAAGGGAACGCGTCTGGCCTTTAGCCTGATGGGGGCTATGTTCGGGTTTAGGCTAAATGAGATAGGGGTCCCACGGTACTTGCCTAAGGTCCCATCGAATACGTCATGGAACTCCTCCATCAGGTCTTTTTCCCAGTCTGTCACGGTGACGCTGTTGATTCCTGTCACTTCAATTCCTAGAGGCTCGAACCATTCTAAACCAAGTAGGCTCGGTCAACGATGGTCAATGGAAGAATTTCAGTATGTTTCTTAAACTTTACCTTGAAGTGTCCCAATCCCACTACCGGTATCTTGTTTCCTTGGTAGTCTTTTATCGTCAGGCTTTGCTCTTCAAGTTCTTTTCGTCGTATGTCTGGTATCAAGTTTTTTATCGTGTTCCATGATACCATTGACAGATATGAGCCGGAGTCTACTTCCATTTCGCATGGCTCTCCTTCTATCTGGACGTTTATTCGAACCTTCTTAGTATTAGTTGCTCTGGCAGTTCCAATAATAATTGTCTGATGCGTTTCTTCCTTCTCATTGCGTCGTTGACTCCTATTTTCCCGGCTCCAATGACTTCCGGTTGGCTTCTCCTTAGTTCTGGGGGGGGGGTACTGCCTCGTCTTTTTGGACTATAGCTCTTTTTGTTTCGGCAGACCCTTGCAATGTGCCCCCGTTTTTCACAGTACCTGCAGATGGCATCCAAAAAACAACACTCAGAACGCGGGTGATTTCCTCCACATCTGGCACACTGAAAATCAGGTTTTCTCCCTCTTCTTTCTTGACGTTTTCGCTCTGATTGGTGCTTGTTTACCTCTTCGTCTTCTTCCTTGGAGTCGGTTGATGACTCGATGTCTTCATGGTGGGTGGTTGCGGTAGTATGTTTCTGGGTACCTTCCGCTTTCTTTTCTCTACTCTGGCTTGGGCTGTTGACTGTATTCATTTGCTTCATTTTCGCCGCAGATTTTTTTGCTGCCTCAGCTGCGGTTGCTTCAGCGATGGCTTCATTTGTGGTAATGTTGGGTTGATTTAGCAGTTTGCTCTGCAGGGTAGCCTCTCTCAATCCGAGGACTATGCGATCCCTCATGGCTTCATCCATGTTGAGGAACTCGCATGCCCCTCCAATGTCCCTTAATGCTGCTACAAAGTCTCCAATACTCTCGCCTTCTTGTTGATCCCGTTTGTAAAATTCGTGTCTTCGAATGAGGTTGGACATAATGGGCGCGTAATGGTTTCTCAGCATTCGGTTCAGGTCTGGCCTGACATCTGTTTGACATTGTTTGGTCTCGCTAATGCCTTCGCCATTTTAAAAATGGTTGGGCCCCAAAGCGTCAGGAATACAGCTCTCTTCCTCTGGTCAGTGATTCCTTGTAGTTCGTTGCTTTCTAAGAACATCAGGAACCTGTCAATATATGATTCCCAGTCTTCTTCGGCTGGGTTGAACGGTGCAGGTGGCGAGTTGTTGCCGGCCATCTCGTTGATTTTTCGGCTGTCGTTGCCACGTGCTTACAGTCTTTGTTCCTTCAATCCCACCTTCATCGCCAGTGTTCTATCGCCAGAACAAAAGCAGACTCAAGACCGGAGTTGAATTCAGCTCTTTATTAACTGTCAGTAACTTCAACTAAAGTCGAGCCGCGGCAGCCCTTTTTATAGCGGCTGCTCGTGGCTCGCAACCAATGGCATTTATTTAAACTTCCCGCCACTTAGGCGGCCAATCGGAACTGTTGTTATCTACCAATCGCCAGCGATGGTATTTGTCCAATAGGAATGCAGTATTACAAGTATGCAAGCAAGTACACTACAACTTGCTTCAGGCAGGCAAGATAGAAGTCAAATATATACAGAAGACCATTTTATTTCTGATCACCAACATCATGCCCTATATTGTAGATAAATTTTGTCTTTTTGTCTCACCTTTTCAAGCAAACAGACACTTGGTCATATGCTTCCCATCTTGACAATGGGAGACATCTGCTTAATATTTGCATAATCATTTTGTCTACCATAGTTTGAGTCCTGCTTCATTCCTTCAACCGTTACACTGGCTCTCTTCTGGCAATTCTCAGCAAGCAGAAACCAATACTTTGGGCATGGATAAAAGTTATGGACTAAAGGGAAATAAACATGCCTATCAAAGTTCAGGGAAGTACAAGAAGGAAAACACGACATACAAGATGGATGGAAAGAGAGATGACAGGACTGACATTGTACCAGATTGTATTTCTTTTCTATTTCCTCTGTTATGAAAAAAATATAAATCCAAGACATAAGTAAAAAGTACCGTATTTGCCGGCGTATAAGACGACCCGGCGTATAAGACGACCCCCCACCACCACCGGAAACGCCCTCCAGAAATCCCCGGGGCTGCAGCGGCAGGGCGGAGTGCCAGGGGCCGTGGGAAGAGCAGGAAGGCTGCAGCCTCGGGCGGAGCGAGGCGAGCGGGATGAAGCGGAAGCGACGCAGGGGATCCAGGAAGCCAGAGGCGCCTTCGCTGCGTCCAACAAGCATCCGAAAGCCGGCAGTGGATATACCGGCGTATAAGACGACCCCCCCACTTGGAGGCATGTTTTTCGGGGCAAAAAAGTCGTCTTATACGCCGGCAAATACGGTAGGTACGATACCTTAACAGATATCACATACATTTACCTCTTTCTTTTTCCTTTCTTCTTCTTTCCGTTTCTTTTCCTCTCTTATTTGAGCCAATCTCTGTTTTTTACGTTCCAGCTCTGCTTTTAAGTCACTCTTGTCTGACATGATGATTCACTGCTTAGGAAGAAAAAACAGAATATATCAGTGTTGGGAACCAAGAAAAAAGTAATTTTTTAACCTCCATTTATCTCCAAATATCAATTAGCCTCTAGAATGGGAAAAGGGGAAAGGGGAAAAGAGTTCTGATGTGATTGAAAGAATTCCTTGATAATAGCCTAATTATATCGAGCAATGGTAAGCAAATATACAATTGAGTAAATGCATTATCAAAACATTTGATTTTAAAAGATAATTTTTTTTCAGCAGCCCATATTAAAATACTGCCTAGCCCTTGTAAATCTAAAAACAATTTTCTTGAACAGCTGTTACAGGGATGTACAACTTTTCCTACCTTGAGGATTACACATGGCTTGGCCAGTGGTTTGAAAAAGGTTTGCAAGAACGTTCTCTAGAAGCTTAGGAGATTGAATTGCAATCCTCGGTGTTCCAAAAACTGCCCAGCCCTGTCTTACAACTACAATTTGCTTAACTTCTATTTAATCCAGCTTCTGAAATTGGTCAGTATTGACTCCCAAGGGTTAAAGAATTATCCATTGTTGTTATTACTATTCATAGTACTATTAATTGAAGTAGTATTCATTAAATTATTTTCACATAATAAATCGGGAAAATAAACAATTTGCAACATCAGAAAGGGGGTAATGATTCTAGCATCAGCTGTTGCTTTCCAATGACCCATATGCATAATTTCTAAATTTAGAACTGCAAAATTCACAGGCAGAATCTGAGGAATAACCAATCTCCATCCTACATATTAATCTCAGAAGCACAATTTAGATTGGCATAAATATAAATGTGAATGCAACTTTCTTCAACCATTTTATTATGTACAACTAATTGAAGCTCGCTTCTGAAATATAATCCCTCTCAATCTATATATATAAAATGGAAATACCACTCATGCATCATCACAAAAACTCCAGAACCGTAAAGCCTACAAACTTGAAATTTGGCATGCATGTTCCTCTTGGCTTCTAAGTGCTCGCTAAGAAAGGATTTTTTGAAATGACCATCAGAGCATTACTGCTTCGTATATTAACGCGCTTTGATGCGAAGGGGTTCTACTCCCCCTCCCCACCTGAAAAGAAACCTGTTCCAAATGCAAAATACAAGCAGAGGAGAGGAGTTTCGGTTTCAATTTTAGTTTCACAGTACCAAGCAGCATTACTACAGAACAGTTGAGCTAAACCATGCCCAAGCTCCTTGCTGTCTCATTCTTGCTCACACAGCAAATAGTGTTTCAGTTTCCAAACAGCCCTCAATTCTCTCACACACTGACAGGATGCTAGCCAGATGAATACCGATGGATGCTGGTAGGCAGAGGCAGAATTTTCCCCCCCTTATTTTCTTACCCAAAAACTAAGCCCGACCACATATTTTCACAGCGAAGCACGAGTATCGAGCTAGTACACATTATTTTATCTTGATTGATTTATGAATTGACTCATTATGTGCCACTGAATCAGTATATTCAGCATGACTACATAGATTTTCTCCAAATTCCTTCAATCACATATGGTTTAACTGCAACTATATAGCCTATCAGCATTACTTTAGCTAAGAAGAATTGTGTTTCTGAGTAACACCATTTCCCGCCTCAACCTGTAACTTAATTCCCACTCTGATATGTTGTGAGTTTAAAAAAACAATCCAATTAGCCTCAGTTGTGATTACTGTAATGTCACAATCAATTTCTTAACTATTAATGGGGGGTGGGGGGGAAATCAAGATTCAGGACAGGGAAAGGCTAAAGAGAAATAATAGTTTCAGGACTTTTAACAAGTAACAGCATTATTATTGATTTATGTCCAGCATAGCTGAGCAAAGATTCCATCAGAGGCACACAGAGCCCAAGGAAAGCATCAATTATGCTTACTTTTACACTCTGCAGCATTGTTCAAATACATCAACAGAGCTTTGAAACAATCAATGCACATGCTGCCAAAGGCTATTATCTAACAAGTCCAAGAGGAATTTAGTAAAGAACTTCTAATTTCTAGAATTTGGGGAGTTTGGTCAAACAGATCAAAAAAGGTACAGTAATAACAAAGGATCTCTTTTTCCTTCTTATGACTATGGGAACTTTTACACTAAGTTTTTATTGTACAATTGTCATGCTTTATTGATGGAAGCCTAAGCATCCAAAAGTAAGATAAAAACCAATAGGTAGAAGCTTTACAGTGAGAGAACCAAATCTAAAATAAGGAATTTCCTGACTATAAGAAGAATTAAGCAATGGAGCAACCTGCCTACTAAAGTGGTCCTTGCTCCATTAAAGAAAGTTTTCAAGAATTAGAAAACTATTGGTACAGATGATCTGAGGATTCCTGTACCTGGCAGGGGTAGAACTAAAAGACCAGCAAGATACCCTCTACGAAACTATGATTTTATTGGCTGCCCAGACAGTGCTATATAAGTAGTCCTCAACTTACAACAGTTCGTTCAAAAATTAGAAAAGCACTGAGAAAAGTGACTTATCACTGTTTTTCCCACTTACAACTATTGAAGCATCCCCATGGTCACATGATCAAAAACCAGATATTTGGAAACTGTTTCACATTTATGACAGTTTATTGTGATTACCTTTTGTGACCTTCTGACAAGCAAAGTTAGAATGGGAAAGCCAAATTCACTTAACAACTTTGCTACTAACTTAACAACTGCAATGATTCACTTAAAAACTGTGTCAAAAAAGGTCATAAAATGGGGAAAATTCACTTACAAATGACTCACATAACAACAGAAAGTAGGGGCTTACTTTGTGGTCATATGTCAAGGACCATTCGTATTCTACTTTCATGTTTTCCTATTATCCATGTTTTTCTATTATTCACAAACAAACAAATCTACAAACTTGCTAATATGAGAGCAAAAAGAGTAGTCACACATGTATCATTTCTTCTCCCGTTACTACTATATAAACATTTTATTGTTATAACTCTCTTTCCCCCAAAGAATACACAGCCATAGCTTAGAACTGATCTAACTTAGGGGGCTTCTCCCCCCCCCCGAAAATAGCATGTGCCATGCCACCACTTGCTCAAATGGAGTTGCACGCACACACATGCTTCTCCCCACCCATGCAAAAATCCTCTCTGCCCCCCCATTCTGCACTGGTCCACAAAGCCAGAAGAGTTGAGGAAGTCTGATCTAATCCATTTGTTGTTAATTTTAATTGTTGTGTTTTCATAATTTATTATTTTCTTATAAATTTTAAATGTTAGCCATATAGTGGGACTTGTTTAGAAGGCATATACAGGGGTGGGATTCTACCAGTTCACACCTATTCACTAGAACCGGTTGTTAACATTCTAAGCAGTTTGAAGAACCGGTTGTTAGAAGAAATTACTGGCCTAATCCTGTAAGGAAGGCAGGAAGGAAACATTCTGGTGTTGCTTACAGAAACTGCCTCTCTGTTAACCCTTATTACATTCTTGGCAGGACTAGACTTCCTGTCTCTAGAACTTATCTGGAGTTTTTTTTTCCTCCTTTGCTAGTACTTTGCTTGTGTGGAGTGACCATTCAAAGTTACAATGGCACTGAAAAAAGTGACTTATGACCGTTTTTGTCACTTATGACTGTTGTAGCATCCCCACAGTCATAAGAGGCCAGGCGAAGAGATGCATGCCTCAATGTGAGTGATATTTAGTTGGCCACACCCAGCCAAAAACATGACCACCAAGCCATGTTCACCCAGTCACATGACCACCAAGCCACACCCACCACCTAAGCCACACCCACAGAACCGGTTGTTAAAAATTTGAATCCCACCCCTGGGCATATACATGACATAAAATACAACAAATCTTGAAGATAAGTTTGGATATGTTTCCTGATCTTTAAGTGGACAAAAAAATACTGCTCTAATAAAGATGCTGAAATCATCATCAAAATACTATACTCAGTTCTTTAGTTTCTAACGTTTCTAGGACTGTGAAAAACTATCAGTTCAGAGTTCTATATTGCAAACTGTATAGGGTCTTGTCTTACTCAAGCTAGCCTTTCCCCTAGGGTTGGGGGAAAAGGATTGGACTTTTTGGTTTCTTGAGTTTATAACACAATTCTTTTGCCTTCCCCATCTCAAATGGGGAAACTATCATTTTTTGGCAGATGTCATAGGAGGAAGCTCTAGAGCATGGGTGTCAAACTTGTGGCATCACTTTGGGATGTTTTTCCCATTCACAGCGCTGACCAAGATGTGACACATCTGGCCTGCGGGCCACGAGTTTGACCCCCCTGCTCTAGAGGATTCATAAAAGGAATATCAAGTCTATAAGGACTCTTATGTTAAAATAGAATAGAATAGAATTCTTAATTGGCCAAGTGTGATTGGACACACAAGGAATTTGTCTTGGTGCATATGCTCTCAGTGTACATAAAAGAAAAGATACATTCATCAAGAGTCAAGAATCATAAGGTACAACATTTAATAATAGTCATAGGGTACAATAAGCAATCAATCTTGGGGTCTCAGCTTTTACCCATCTCTTATAAAAGAAGATAAACTGCCTACAATAAAACATCACAGTACAGACTTGTCCCCTATACATATAATTAACTTTTCACAACAAAAAAAAATCAGACCTATTCTGCCTGATGGGGTAGAGATGGGACAATTTCAACTATTTAAGTAACTCTCACACACTTGAACAATTAACGTATAAAGAATAATAGCCAAAATCAAACGTCAATGCTAGATTATTGCAATCCCCTTTTTTACTCCTACTGGACTTTTCCAATCCAACAATTAGCTTTTTCACCTGGAAGAAGATACCAAAAATTAGCTGATTTTTTCAAATGGAAGCAAAATATGATCAACATAAAGCTGGTCTGGAATGCACCTTCAAAGCACTTAACAAACTTCCTATGCACAATTATCCAGACACTGCATTTTTTTCCTCGTCATCTGCTTTTCTCCATATAGAAAAAGGGAAAGGGAAATAATTGAAACATTCTTCCCCAAGCATAATGACACCACACATTTT